GGAGGGAGGAGGGAGGGAGGAGGGAGGGAGGGAGGAGGGAGGGAGGAGGGAGGGAGGGAGGAGGGAGGCTTGAGCTGCAGTGGCAGCACTGGAGAGAAGGTAGGTGGGAGAGGCCTGGAGATTCGGCAGATCTTCATGATGGCTCTGCGGTAGCAGGAAGTGAGTACTCTAGGGACTCCACCCTAGGCCTGCTAGGCTCTCCAGCTAGGTCCTTGGGAGAGTTGTTCCCTTGTCCAGCTGCGGAATCCCCAAGGAGAGGCAGGTGGCACAGCAAAGCCTAGTGCTGGGACATGATCCTTGAGAGGCTTGGGAATGAGGACAGCAATGACACCTGAGGCTCAGAAGCGAGGTCCTAACTGTGGTGTCCAGGACAAGGTGGGGGTACTGGAGAGCCTGGTCGCTCCTGTGCCACCACTTACCGCCATCGGGTGCTGGTCATGCTGATCTCTGCTTCTGTGGCCCCTCCCTGCAGCACCAGTGTGCTTACGCTCATCTTGTTTTTGATCCTCCTCAGCCATGGGCAGGTGGAGCCCACCGCCAGGTTGAACCATTTTCCATAGATCTAGGAGGAACCACAAGCTAGGATCTGGATTTATCCAGGCCCTTTGAGAAGACATGTCCACGTTCCCCTTCTCTCCTCCGAGGGCCAGCCCTTTAAGGGACAGCTTTTCCGGTCGATGGTGGAGTTCCAGGTACAGCAGTTATGGCAGAGGTGTGTGATGTCCCCTGCCTTGCACAAGGCCTATTCGACAGATTTAAAGTGCCTGTGATACCCCCTGTAGGCAAGTGGGGTCCAGACGCATGCTCTGAGGTCAGCAGCGCCATTGCTCAGGAGTGTGAGGCTTGGGTTTTATACTTTCCAAAGCAGAGTGTCCGCCACTTAGTGAGGCAGCCTGGGGAAGTGTCATGGAGCCACTACAAACCTGACAAGGCCTCTTGACCCCGTTCAGATGGTGCTGACTTTCCAGCACACCTGGTCTTTGTCCTGAGGTGTAGAAAATTCCGGAGAGTTCTGAGAGCCCCACAGATAGACCATGGAGACAGGGTCTCCCGCTCCTATCACTTTAGGATTCAGGACAAAGCTGGGCTGCTGGCTCTACAACACACACACACACACCCAAATATTGGCACAAACGCACAAGTGCCCAGCCTGCCACAATCCAGGGTGCCCTTAGTCTCATACTTCCCAATTGCCCCAACCCATCAATCCATGCCCTGCTTCTCCTTCTTCCATGATCTCACTCACAGGCCCAGGCCCATCCTATGCCGTCTTCCCCGTGTGGATTCTGCCCTCTGGGAACCCAAGGGACAGGGCAGAGTGGGAAGACATTAGGCTCAGAGGGGGCCCGACAGAGTGGCACTGAGGGAGCTGTAGTTTCAGAAAATCCCAGAATAACCTACCCCCCCCCCCGAGGGATTGAGATATTGTGCACAGGACGGGAAGACGACCACCCCCAGACAGACAGGTCTCGGCCGTCAAGGCCCAGTGGCATGGATAAGCCACCCCTGTGTTTATCTCAGTCAGAGAAACCAACCTTACCCGGGACTCGCTGAAATTCTCCTGGACCTGGATGTCTGACACAGGGTCAGCCCTTGAAGCCAGGCAGGCGGTCAACAGCAGGAACAGGGTCCCAAGACCCTGCATGGCTCTGGGGTCTGTAGCCTTTGATGTCTCACAGCTTGGTGTGGAAGCAAAGGACAACTTCCCTGCCAGTAGTAGCTGCAGACTGGAGCTGAGGAAGGGGTCAGAGGCAGGTGGTGACCTCGGTGTTTGCTCTGCTTAGCCAAGGCCAATCAGGGTCCTGGGCCAGTTCTAACCGATCCCTGCAGGCCGGCCCAGGTCTAACTCTGTGGACAGGAAGCCATGGCTCCTGACTCAGAAGGGACATTGACCACAATAAAGTCCAGACCCTAGAAAGGCTTCCTTGTAGGTCTAACCAACTCTCCCCAGGGAGCACAGGGGATGGGGAGCCAGGCAATGGCTGTTTCCTCTAGTCTCTTCCCCTCGACCTCATGCCAGTCAGCTACCAAGTATAGTTTCTCACATGACAAAACCGAGACCAGGTCCCGGCATCCTTCTCCATAAGGTTTTTTTTTTTTTTTAATTTTTTTTTTGTTTTTTTTGTTTTTGTCTCCAGCTTTTCATATCTTTTAAGATAAATTTAACAAGGAGGGATGTAGTCCCTTCATGGAGCCACACTGGTTTCTCACAGTGAGAGTATCAGGATCCAGTTGAACCCTACCTCCACCTCAGAAGCCTACAACCACCTTTCACTGACATGTGTCATGAGTATCCCAGGAGTGACAGGAATGACTCGGGCCGCACCTTGAGAAAGGGAGCATCTGGAGGAGATCAAGGGCACAGATTCTGAAGCCAGGCAGCTTCCTGTGATCATCCTGCTGTGTGAGCTTGGAAAAGTTGCTGAGCCTCTCAGGGCTCATTTCCTCACCCATAAGCAGGGCGAGCATCAGTACCTGGATTGGGGTGAGGGTTGAGGGGTTAAAGTCAGTGGGCAAGAGACTGAATGTCTGTGTAGGGTAACTCACAACCTCTGCAAAATCTATGTCCATCTGGAACCACAGAGCAGGGTCCCACGTTTAGGTGAGACTGGCTGAGGCAAGTTTGCACAGGATGACACATCTCTTTCGTTTAGTTCCCAATGATTTGAGTCTTCTCCACCAGCAGCCCAAGGTGAGTAACACGGTAACCTTTCCATGTAAAACAGCAACCACAAAATTTTTCTAGAGACAGGGATTTATACAGCTCAGGATGGCCTTGAACTCCATTCATAGGCAGAACTGCTCTTGGATATCTGTCCTCCTGCCTCCACCTTACGAGTGTCAGGATCACAGGCATGCACTACCATGCTTGGTTTATGCTGTGGTGGGGGTTAAACCCAGACCTTGGTGCATGCTGGGAAAGGACTTTACCATCTGAGCTCCATCCTTAATCTCTTGATTTATATATTCTAAAAGGAGTTTTTTTTAAACCCTCATCCGTTTGTCTCCAGAGCTCAAACTCCTGTCCATGATACTATGACCCTTCCTCACATGCTTCTCTCTCCTCCGGGGGGGGGGGGGCAGCCTTCCTGCTGCTCCTGTGGCTGATTCCTGCATGCGGCAAGCAGCCCCTGTTACAGCTGACCCCTGAGAGAGTCAGAGGATCCTTTCCATAGCCAGTGTCTGAGCAAATGGTGCGCTTTGTCCTTCTGTGAGGCCTGACAGACACAGTCCCTTTTTGCTGGTATCCAGAGCA